ACAATGTATTTTCCATGGAAATTGAAATTTTGGATTTCCCACTTTTTAGATGTTTGATACATCATTTTTTTGGGCAATTATTTTCCATGAATTGTGCTTACACGGGTGCCAATTCCAACCTTTTAGGGAAAATGAATTCCCATAGGGTATGGTGGTTTTTCAAATTCTAGCCTTTTTTTTTTTTGGAAATGAAAACAAATTCTAAGAGTTATTGTAAATTTTTCTCTTTAATTGACAATTTCCATGTAAAATAAAGTCAAAAGAATACCAAAAGATGGATGATTTTCTGGAATTTATTTATTTATTTTTATTTCTTTTGCAATAGAAAAATTTCATCCCCAATACCAGTAAATTCTATCCATTTAATTGACAATTTTTATGTAAAACAAAACCAAACGAACACTAAAAAACAATTTTTTTCAACATTTTTCACGTGAAAAATTATACCAATCAAACACAATAATTTACAATTCCCAGGAAAATAATTTTTAGGTAATTCAATTCCCTCAAATTCGTTTTCAATTCAATTCAATTTAATTTTTACAATCAAATAGACCCTAATTTTTTTTGGGCTTCAATTGCATGCGCAACAATTTTTTTTATCTTAATTCTTAAAGAGCTTCAACTTAACGGAATCTCTAAATCCCACAAGTGATATCAAAGTCATTTTGGAGCGTATGTGGAAGGTAGTGTCATAATTAATTAAGATACTAACAAACGCTAAATTATTTGGTGACGATTGTAAATGGAAGATTGGTGAATATATATTTATTAGTGAACTTCTTTTGGATGGGTAACTGTTCATATTTAATAATATATCTTGTTTGAGAAAATAGTCGAACACTCGATTCTAGGACATTTCGAGAAAACACAGAGATGGTCTTTTCTTGTCAACTACGAAATTGGTATCCAATTCGATCTTGAACACGTTATCATATACTTTCTGTACGAGATGTAGTCAGCATCTTAATTTCTATCTACTTTAGGAAAATGCACCAGTCTTTTTATCTACAGACCTACCTAATTTCTTTCAATGAGTTTAATTTCCATATAGTAAAAGATGAGGAAGAAACGAGGGGAATGGTAGGAAAGAAAAGCATCTCATGTAATTTCTATCTATGTTTACTTTCTCACATGGAAAGAGTCTAGAAAGTCGGGATTATTTTCCTTTTGGGTGATTCCATCTTATATGTTCATGACATTGTTCGGTTGAATTGCAAATGACATCTACAATAATGAATACATAGGACTCGATTGTCACTAATTATTATCATTATTTTTAGTATTTATATCACTTTCGTTGACATGTAATCACACAATAGATGTTGCATGTCAAGTCATCACCAGAATGTAGGGACGGCCTCTTTTGGCCGAAAATTATAACCTAAAGTAAAGTTTGGCGTATTTTTCTTTCTTTTACTCCATAAAAGGGCCAAAAAAAAAAACATGAAGAAAAAATAGCCAACATGAATCATTTTAAGGTAGCGATCACAATATAAAAAAAAAAAAAAAAAATGAAGAAAAAATAGCCAACATCAATCATTTTAAGGTAGCGATCCCAATATAAACTTGATCAAATTGACAATTGGGTCGAACTAGTCGAAAGATTTTCCTTTCTTTTCTTTTGCACCATTTTGCTCAAAGATTTGAAGGGAGATAATTTATCAAATTGTTTGCAACTCTACAAATTGCATGATGGGCAATTCGACTTACTTTCGGGGGATGGGTGGGCGGGGGCGGGGAATGTTTTCCTAACTTGAGAGAGTTGGGGAAGTTCTTTTGGAGGCCTATGTTGAGTAAGGCGGGAAAGCATTGCAATTAAGGAATCCTTCCTTTCTTCTTCATTTTCACGCAAAAACAGATATTTAAAACTCAGGAGAAGATTCAACCCCCAATTACTTGATCAGTTCTTCTGAATTTCTAATAGTATTTGAAATCCTCTATTTTTGATTTTCTAATAAATCACAACGAAACTATCCAGTTAATCAAGATACACAATGAAGATTGTATTCATATGATTTCACTTCTCAACAAATACCTTTATGACAAAAATAAAAAGAAAAAAATGTAAGACATTTTTTTCTTTTTATTTATTTATTTTTTAAATAAAGATAAATTGGACATTTCACCAGGACGAATGTCAATATTTTAGTTTAACCATTAATATAGGCCATTTTGAAAAGAACTCCAAAAACAAAACTTTGTTCCAGTGATGCATGATTGTTGTATTATTACTTACTCCATACTACATGATATAATCTTAGAAATCTTGATTGAATGATGAACGGTCCCTTTTTTCTTTACATCTTTTCACAATATCTTATCTTTATTATTGATGCTGCTTCATTTCTCGCAATCCTTTCGAATTATGTGCTCATTCTCTTAGGAGACTTTTATATTACTCTGTATGATATAACAATAACGGTGCAAAAAATGAGGTCTACCTATCCAAACTCATAATGATTTTTGTCCCTTCTAAAAATTGAATGAAAAGATCAGAATCAATCCGATCCAATCTAATTCAATTCGGTCCATGTTGATTAATAGATTGATTCACCTTAGTGAACCGTCAACAACAAATTTATTGTCCAACCCAATACTCATGACAGATAAAATATTTCATTACAAAATATTTAAAAGATAAAAGTAAAATTAAAAGAGCCGTTTATATATATATATATATATATAGATAATAGATTTCCAATTATGACTCAATATGAAGTATATTAAATATTCAAAAATATGAACAAAATAAAACAAAATGAACTAGACTAGCTTGGTTCGCAGTATTAGCCATGTTGTTCGTTTATGATCTTCAAAAAACTGTTCAAAAACAAGGTTTGAATCGTATTTATAAATGGAAAAATTCAAGTTTGACATAGTATGAAATCAAAATATATACATATCGATCGGTTGAAGGAGGCCATCCACCTTTTACACCTATTTCGTTTCGTATTTCTAGTGTTAGAAAATAAATAAGAGTAACTTGATTGAAGATGAAAAGTCATCTCAATTAATTTGTAGCTATGGTAGGCAAAATAGAGATGTGCATTATGGATGTATAAGTGAAGATCCCTCAATTTTCTTTTTGACCGATTAGCCAGCCGGCCCTACACATTTTTGTCATTTTCAACCTTTCACTTATGCCTAGGTTTGTTAGCCAATGAGAAGGAGTTTCTAATTTTTTTTCGAATTTTTTTTAAATAGTGATTTTTAAAAAAAATGTATAGTTAAAAAGTATGAAGTTTTTTAAAGTTTACTTCCAAAATATTTTATTGTATGAATATGTAGTTAAAAATGTATTTGAGAAATTTTTTTTGAAAAAATGGATGACAAATTGGGTCTATAATTAAGGAGTTGAAATTTGTGCCAGCAAAAGTCCTTAACCTTTCATAAATATATACTTAAAGTTTATTTGGACGAAGAGTGTCCAAAACACCGTCAGTTGATTGGAAAAATTCCTTGAACCATCTGCTACTGTGACAGTTTTATTGGATGTTGATATCTTTTCTGGACGGTGTTTTCGGACGATTTTATTGGATGTTTATTCCTTAATTTTCTAGGTCAACTACGGTATTTTGGATGGTTTCGGTCTAGATAAACCTTAGGTGTATATTTATGAATGGTTAAGAACTGTCGCTGGCACAAAATGAACGTTAGGATAAATTTTATAAAAAAATGAAAACTTTAGGGACCGCTGCTGCAATTTTTTCTTTAATTAATTATAGACACGTCATTTTTAAAGTAATATTTTATTTCAAATTTATCATTATTAACTTTATTACCAACCCATCAAATTGATAAATGTTAATTTAAAATGACGTGTCGATAATTAATTGAATGTGCCATAATTTAAATAGCAAAAGTTGGATAGCAGATCTTTAACTCATAATTAAAAACACAAATTTTGATAAAGGGCTGTTGACCAGTAATTTTTTGTAACGTACACTGTATATTATTAAATTACAAGAAAATGTAATTAATTATATTTTGTTTAATTAAGATTTTTATTTATGAGATTGATTACTTACATCATGAAAATTAATATTATAATTAAATGCCAAAACGTATGTGATTTTGTAATATAATTACCGTATTAAGTAGTTTGTTAGTCGTTATGACTATATGACAGCTACATGCGTCAAAGTTGCAAATTGATACCAAATTTATCATTATAATTTCATAATAAGCCTTTATTCACAAAACTTTACAAGTTTATGCTATATGGTCACATGCTCTTCGTATATCTAATTTTAAGAATTTAAGTTTTGTTTTATAATTTCAGCCACCACCATTCCTCCTCTAGTCAGGATGGATTCAAAATCGAACTATTTTTTTTAAAGCCAAACTAAAATGTCAAAAAAGAAAAAAGAAAAAAAAGAGTGGTTTTGCCCATAGAAAATTCAAATATATTAGAAGGGGATTGGGGTAAAGCCCAGCTTTGCCCTATCCCTCTATATACGGTACTAGCTTTAATATACTTATCACCTATCATGTATTTCAATAGCGAAGCGTCTACTGTATGAAACTTTGTATCAAGATACAATATCATATCATGGATCGAACTTTTAGAGTCCACCAAATTAGTTTTGACAATCACTCGACGCTTCGTAGACAACAAAGAGTATGTTATTTAAAATTTATGTAATAAGTGATTTAATTTTAGGATCCCATGACGATTTAAAGAAGGTGGATCTGATTATACTTCAAATCAATTTATTTCTTTTCAAAAGTCAAGAGCCAACTTGCTTTGAAGACAATAGATTGGTTACTAATGGTGTAATTTTATTCAAACATAGGCCAGGAGCTTGTTTGTGTAGATTTCTCTTCTAAATAATAATTAACCACACATTTTACGAGTCTTTAATTTTTTCCAACTCGTAACTAATCATTCTTAAAAAAAAAAAAAATTCCTTTTGTATATAAAAACATTTCTCCCAAACAAACTCTAAAATAATAGTATATGTACTGTAGGCTGACTCACTCAGTCGTACCGACGATCCATACAATCAGTGACTTTCTTACTGTGCAAACACCCCACCCATACCACCCACCCCTCTCTTCCCCTCCACTTTCTCTCTCTTTTCTGCTACATTAACATACATACAAACCGACGACAAACTCCTCTCTGGCACACAAAAAGATTCCTTCTTTCTTTTCCTTTTCTTTTTCCCAATCTCATCTTTTTCCCCAACCCTAAATATTTTTCACCCCAATTTCGATTATGCTTTCTTTCTCGATCTAATTTCATTCTTAATTTTCACTGGAAATTAAATTTGATGGGTTGTGCTAGCTCAAAGCTTGATGACTTACCGGCAGTGACTTTGTGCCGGGAGCGGTGCACTTTCCTAGATGAAGCTATACACCAACGCTACACCTTGGCTGAAGCCCACGCGGCTTATCTTCACTCTCTTGAGGCCGTCGGCTCTTCGCTCGATCGGTTTTTCAATGGAGATACTGATGGTTCCAATCCGGGACCATCTTCGCCGGTTCTCAACCTTCCGGCTCAACGGAAAGGTGACCTACCCGAACCTTCTGGTTCACCGCCGGAAAACATTCACCACCTTCACTCTGACTCGGACTCCGGTTCGCATCTTCACCTTCACTCTGACTCCGAAGACGAAGAAGATTCCGGTTCTGAATCGCTACATCATCATGATGCGCCGTCCCCGGTTCAACCGTATGTTGGTCCCTTTGGTTACATACCGGATTATGATATTTATCAGGGAGGCGGCAAGATTATAAATTATATGAAGAAGCAACCGACACCGTCTGTAGTGTATGAGCAACGGCCGATGATCCCAGAAACTAGACATATAGGTGAATCTTCGACTTCCTCTTCGTATACTTCTTATCCTTATCCTTATCCTTATGCAAATAATATTCAGAACCCACCTTCATCTCCTTATTATTATAATAATAATGTTGGTAATTACGGAAATTATCCGAATATGGGTGCTGGAGGTGGATTTTCGGGTTCTTCGTTACCACCGGCGCGTTACGACGGCTTTTCATCTCCGCCTGATGGGGCAGCTTCTACGTCGAGTTCAAAAGCGCCTCCACCGCCGCCGCCGCCGCCACCAAGTAGTTCGACCTGGGATTTTTTGAACCCTTTCGATGCCTTTGAGAAGTATTATCCGCCTTACACCCCGAGCCTGGACTCGAGGGAAGTGAGGGAGGAAGAGGGAATACCTGATTTGGAAGATGAGGATGGTGAAGTCGTGAAGGAGGTTCACGGAAATCAGAAGTTTGTGGATAGCGGGAGGAGTAGTTATTCGAAGGCAGGAGCAGCTGGAGGGGCCAATAAGGTGGAGGATGAGAGGGCGCAGAATGATGATGAGTTAAGGTACAGGGCAAAGGCAAGCGCGGGGGTGGAGAGTGATCCAGTGGAGTATGAAGTGAAAATGATGGATAAAAAGGTGGTTGATGATGAGGACAAGTCGAAAGATCGGGGAAATGTGGCTGGATTTAATGCCCGTGGTGGTTTCAAGGTTGATTCTGAGGTTGTGAAAGAAATTCAGGTTCAATTTGTGCGAGCTTCAGAGGCTGGAATCGAGCTTTCTAAGTTGCTCGAGGTCGGGAAGCTTCCCTATAAGCACAAACATGGTGGCCATAATGGTAAAGATTCAATTTTTTTGTACCTCTGCAATTGATATACAGATTTTTAATGATTAGTTGTATTACTTCCAGAATATAAAAGTCTCTTTTGTTTGTTTGTCTGCAAAGAATTGATTGATATACAGTTAATTCATTTACTATACGGACCTTGAGTCCTTGTAATTTTGTGGTGGAAAGTTAAGTTTGAGTGTATTAGACCTGCTTTGATATCTTTTTAATGTTTAAACTTATGGCTATTTTTGGGGCAGTTTCTTCCAAGATATTGCAGATGCCAGGGGTAGCATCACAAACATTAACTTCCAAAAGCTCGGAGAATGGAAATGCTGATACTTTAGATGTTGATCAAATTGTGGGCTCAGGCTCCAGAAATATTTCCTCCACTTTGCATAAGTTGTACCTGTGGGAGAAGAAACTGTATGAAGAAGTGAAGGTACATTGATAATTCCTTTAATTGACCCATGTTCTGTTATTTGTATTTGTATTTGTGCAACTAATGTCCTCTGGCATTAGTTGCTCCATTAATTATATACCAACTATATGGATTGTGGTCCCCCTGTTGGAACCATTTTTCAGAACTCTTCTCAAGGACTCAATTTGTTAGTTACCGTTACTTCCTAATCACCATATTCTGATAGATGATAGTAATGACCCTCAAAGTGCTGCTGTAAATCTTTTATTAAAGAATTCCAAGTTCTTTACAAATGTTCATCTCATTATCGTTCTGGCGATTGATGAAAGTAGCGAGTTAAAACTCATATAGTGACACCGAAGTGGATTTGCTATTATAATCTTGCATTGGGTTATTCCTATCTAGAAATTGGGATGTGCTTGAAGATTCAATTTGACGTTTGAGATAAAATCTGACTGTAGATGATGTAATTGCAGCTCTTTGAAATATTCTTCATCGCATAGATCTACTCGCTCAGATACCATGATCCCGTCATCCTTTCTTTTGACATTCATTGATTTCTTTTGCAAGTGGTTTGTGTTGCATGTCATGTCAACCTCTTTTTGAAGCTCATTAGTCATTCGTATGGATCTCCAGGTTCCATTGAGGCAAGATTGATATTTTATGGCTTTGTCTAATCAGATTAATCTATCGAAGAACTTTTGTAGAATAGTGAATATTGAATTGATATTTTATGGCTTTGTCTAATGAGATTAATCTGTCGAAGAACTTTTGTAGAATAGTGAATATTGAAACCATAATCTTGTTGGTATCCATCGAGCCTAGGTCTCTTATGGGGCTCTACTTTCTTATGTCCTTGTTTGTGGGCCTAAAACTTTAACTAGTTGAGATGCAACTGCTTATCCCATGTATGCTCATGCTTTTGCAGGTTGAGGAGAAAATGAGGGTCCTCCATGATAGAAAGTCACATAAACTGAAGCGGTTAGATGAACGGGGTGCTGAGGCTCAAAAAATTGATACAACCAGATCTTTAGTTAGGAGTCTATCCACAAAAATTAGAATTGCGATTCAAGTTGTCGATAAATTCTCAGTGAAGATAAACAGTTTGAGGGATGATGAGTTATGGCCGCAGCTAAATGAATTCATTCATGGGTATGTGGATCTTATGACCTTTTTGCAGACTCTGTATTAAGTTGCTCTCAAGTTTGAACCTGGTGGCTCTGCATACTGCATTCTGTTTGTATCGCATTTTTTTTCTTCACATTTTTATGAACTTGATTGATGCATAATATTTATGAAGTGATATGTTGGCACCCATAGGATCTATTCACTTGTTAACCTTTTGTTGAATCTAATCTATGTCCATGAAAGCATAGAAGAATTTGTTTCACCCTGCTAACCCCCTGCTCTAGAAAATGTCTTTTGAGGTGTGAAGCACAAATTATTGGTCTTGTTAATGTTCTTCTTCACCTCTGAAGTAAGATTGTTGAGGGTCATTCACAAGGAAGCACATTTCCCTATGCTAAGACCACTCATATAGACACCATAGTTTTGTAAGGGACACAAGATTTCCAAATGAATTTGAATCCAGCATCAACAACCTTTCGTAAATCATCTCGAGGATAATCCATAGAGGGGTCAAATCTCAAATCTTGCTATTTGTCTAGTTGCTGCAGAACTGAAAATTCCTATCCATTTTTCCATTTTCAGAGAGCGAACTAACATGTACATTTACATTTTTAAGCATAGAAAGATCATTTAGACCCCTGTTCTCTTTATTTCTCGTACTCATTTTCAATCCCACATATCTTACACGTAAACTTAAAACTTTTCCCTACTTTTTAATCGCGCATTTTCCAAAAAATCACTATTGAAAACATCATTTTCCCCAATTTCTCTTTATAATGGCATCAAACGGGCTTAGTCTTGGAAATGAAGAAGCAAGGGAACCAAAACCTTCGACCTTCCTCCCGGAAATAAATATCTGAAATTTGTTAGAAGAATGAGGCTTGCTCTGATTTCCTATGAGCTAAGTGTTTGGTAAGCCAGAAGGTTCCTTATTGCGTAAGGTAAAAGTATGACTATAGGGCTTTGGACAGTCAGAGTGTTAAAATGGATTTTATGCATGGACGCTGGATCAGAGGCATGGTACCTGGAAGTTTAGATCTTTTCAAGTTTACATGCGTAAGGTGGAATGGCTTTTGGTAAGTTTTATGGTAGAGAAGCTAGAGGAGTTTGTGGTAGGTATTTCTGTATGTAACTAGTTATATACCTTACCCAATTTTGTTGAAAGCACGGCTCAGTTTGTTGTTGTATTTCTGTACGTAACCATGTTAGCTGGACTTTGCTATGGAGGTTGGAGACAAGTATGTGTCCAAGAGTTGCATTAGTAAAAAAATCTATAGCCTTCTGCTTAAAATTAGGGATTGATATGCTATCTATATTTCCCACTATTTAGTGTTGAACATGTGTACTTGAGCTGTAATGGAACAGTTCATGTAACAAATGTTTGTCAAATTTCAGATGGAAATAGGATGATTAAAAGGAAAAGACGAAGAGGAATTGTTTGGACTTCGGCCAAAAACTATTGGGCTTTATTTACTTGTGGGATTAACCCTCTCTATTCTAGGTTTTTTGAGACTATATAACAGCTAAATTAGGTGCCATACAAATCAATTTACTATATTATCCTCTCGTGTGGGGGCATGCAATGAGAGTACCTGGTGACTAATTTTGTGTCTATTATTGTTTTCAGTCTCTCTCATTTAATATTTTCTTGCCTTTTCTTCCAGGTTAACCAGGATGTGGAAATCCATGCTTGAGTGCCATCATAATCAATGTCAAGCAATTGGAGAAGCCAAACGGTTAGATGCCATTGCATTACGCAAACACTTCAGTGATGCTCATTTTGAAGCTACTCGACAGCTTGAACGTGATCTCATTAATTGGACTCTAAGATTCTCTTACTGGATCGGTGCCCAAAAGGGTTATATTAGAGCATTAAATAACTGGCTTATGAAATGTCTCCTTTATGTTCCTGAAGAAACACCAGATGGAATAGTTCCCTTTTCCCCTGGAAGGATTGGTGCTCCTCCAGTGTTTGTAATATGTTACCAGTGGTCCCAATCATTGGAGGGAATTTCTGAGAAAGAAGTGGTTGATTCAATGCGAGATTTTGCCACAAGTGTGCTTCAGCTCTGGGATCGGGATAAGTCAGAAATGAGACAAAGGATGTTAGCAAACAAGGATGAGAGGAAAGTTAAGGGCCTGGAGAGGGAAGACCAGAAGATACAAAAGGAGATTCAGGCATTAGACAAAAGAATGGTTCTTATCTCTGGGGACAACAGTGGTATGCCATTAACCGGACGTGTTGTGTATCAGAGTGAGACCAGCAAAAGTGCTAGTCTTCAGGCGGGTCTGCAACATGTTTTCAAGGCCATGGAGAAGTATGCGGCTGACTCTTTGAAAGTCTACGAGGATCTTTTACAGCGCATTGAAGAGGATCGTATTGCTCGAGAGCGTGAACAAGTTTCCTAATGTTACCTTCTAGATGACGTCTGAATAGGTATGCTTGGTGGGCCACTTTGATTTACTATGTCCAGATTGAAGTACTAGTAAAAGCCACAAAGGTATGAGATTCGGAGCTTGTCAAGTTGGGACTCAAGAATTTCTACCTTGACGTTAAACTTCACATATCTTGTGGTGAAATATTTGCTGGCAATCAGTTTCTATCATCCAATGAGGGACTAGATGTATTTGTCATTGATGCAACTCAACAAAGAAGTTACAGTTTTAGAAGATGAAACATTGTTATAAGACATTAAAGTTGCTTTCTCAAAGAGCAAAAGACGGGTCAATGGGATATTTTGGTGCAAAGGTAGCTAAATCCTCTTGATTTGCCGAACTTTGTTTCTAAAGATCTGTCTCTCATCGGTATTGAACCTAATCAGCAGGTCTTATGTGACTGTTCCTAGCCCTGGGGTCATAGCTGTTGATGGTTATGATGGCTACCTAATTAGAAAAGGTATGCAAATTTTTAGGCTGCGTGCTGTGAATGGTTTCACAAGCTTCACAGGAATCTTTAGATCCATATATATTGGAAATTTGGCCTAATCCGCTCCTCTATAATTAAGCGAGGATGGTTAATTGCAAGGAAAATATACAGGATTGCCTTGCTGCTCGGATAATTGAACTTCCAACCTATATTGGTTCACGACACTACACTAGCAGGAGAAACCATTCTCTTGGTTCTGCACAAGAAGCGGGCAGGGGAGGCAATCCCTCAGTTTTTTGCATTATCATCACTTGCTCCAGACCGGCAAGTGTGGACTTAAATTGTCTACTGATACCCAGAAATCAGGTTATGCATGAGTATAAATTCATAGTTACATTATTCAAATTGTTGTCCAGGAGCCTTTTCTTACTGTTTTGAGAGTATATTTGTAGTTTGAATGAATTCTTTTGTTAGTTAAGAAATTGAGAATGAAACTCATTATTGTAGTCGTTTTAATGTCAAAAGCTAATATGCCGTGTGGGCCTTCGCTTTTTAAACTAAACTGTATGTACGTAAAATTTGACAAAAAAAAAAAAAAGATTCTTGTACATAGCTAATTACATAATATTCCATAATGATGAGGTGTCGAAATGTAAGTGGAAAAGTTATTTGATTAATAAGATTCTGATTCAATTAAATTTCGTCACATTATCTGGTAGTAGACTATTATGTAGGTTATCTACATATAATAATTGTAATCTTAGAATAATGCTATTTGTATTTGAGTAGTTACAAAAAGGTTTACAGACAAAGTGTCAAAAAGAAAGTGAAGTTTTGGATTGAAGAAATTTTGATCCAATCATATCTTATCACATTATGCTCATGTAAACGATTATGTAAACTTATTATATACATATGATATAACCATTAAATTTTTAGCCTGTTGGACGAGTTGGTTGACAACCTATGTTTTGTTGCACGAAACGAAATGAATGGTAAATAGTATATGGGAAAGGGCCCTTGCATAAAGGGGGCCAGTTGCGCTATGTCAAAAGCGAGAGAAATTCCATCCCTCTTTCCTTTTCTGGCCCCCACGTCGCCACCATCTATCCTGCTTAGAAGAGGTTTGGTTTCAAACCCTGGTTCGAACAGGAGGAGTAAGGGCCTAGCATAAATTACTTAGTTTTTGTGAGTGCTGTTGATTTACGTAATTGGAAATAACCAACTAGAAACGCTAGAAACATGTGAAGTGTATGGTTAACCCAATAACGAAATCAGGTCCACTTACTTTTTCTTTTGTGGATTTCAAATCATTCATTCTTCAGCCAATAGTTACATTTCTCAAAAGACGTTATAGATGCTATAACAAAACTTTGTAAGAAAACTAATTCATTGACACAAATAGTTCATGGAAATTGACTTATTTAGGTCCCGTACTCGATCCCCTGTATACAGGGGCCTGGTACGATTAGCAGGGCCCATAGTATATTTACTATTTAGTCTAATACTTCTGAACCTTGACAGATTTGTCGGAACATAATTACGTTATAAAATAAAATGCCAGCTTGCCAGACTTGCGGAATGAATATATGCCTCTAAATACAATCAGCTTCCCATTATTATATAATAAAATCAACTAGCTAAGCTACCTCATATTCCTTGTAATGAATCACATTCAATAATCTGTCAAGCTATCGAATCATTAAACATTAATTCTAATATTAGATCATAGTATACATTCCTCTGTCTTCCCTTCGACTATTAATCAACCTTAATTCCACCAAATTACGCTTAAATAGTACTTACTATTAAGCAGGGGAATCCACTAAGAAAGGTGTCTCCGAAAATTGTTGAAATTTTTTAAATGTATAGACCAAAATGTTGGCCTATGTGGTCGGTCACATGGTCATTTGCAGGGCCTTTGGATGATCTATGCGGTCTCATAAGTTTGCTCTATGCAGTTGCATAGAGCATTTCAACTAGCTATTAGCTGGTTTTTTCAACTGCATTTCGTGTCTTTTGGCGTATTGTAAGGCATCACTTCGTGGAGTATTGTTGAGACCTATAAATAGGTGATTGATGTTCAATACATTACACTTGGAAATCACTAGTGATCATAATTTTCCATTCCATAAAATTATCGAAGTTCTCTCTCCATGATATTCAATTTCTTCTTTGTGTTCTTAAGTTTTGGAGGATTTCACCAAATGTTTAAATGTTAATCATTTTCAAAGCTTGATAAATCCTACAAACCATTTGCTAGAATCCCTTTAAGCATCAAGTTCAATCTGAAAAGGGGCAAATATCGTTTGAGGATAATGATCACGTGTTTGAGCCTCATTCAATTTCTTTTGGCGTTTCTTTTGTTTCTTCTTTTTATTATTCGTTTTTTCTCCATCTCCTTGTGTGTAAACCATATTTCCAACAACCTCAAACGATATTTTGCAATGGAGAATGAAACCATTATGACTATGATCAAGTTGATGAATCAAGACCTCGTTTGTTTAGAACGTTTTGATGGAACAAAGTTTAGAAGATGGCAAGACAAGTTGAAGTTCCTACTCACGGCGTCGAAAATATTTTACATTCTTGATTCGGAATTAGCACCACCAGAACCAACAAATGGAGAAATAGATGCCATAAGCGTTGAAAGACAAAAGCCTCAAGAAGATGAAATTATATGCTGCGACCATATTCTCAACACTCTATCCAATCAGTTGTATGATCTATACACCAACATTTCTTTCTCAAAGGAAATTTAGAACGCTTTGGAAAGTAAGTACAAAGTCGAAGAAGAAGGTACCAAGAAATTCTTAATTTCAAGGTATTTTGATTTAAAATTTCTTGATATCATTCCCACTCTTTCCCAAATTCATGAGTTGCATGTCCTTGTCAATATGTTGAAGGGGTCAAAATTCAGATCCCAAAAACTTTTCAAATGGGAGCAATTATTGCAAAACTTCCAGAACTTGAAAAGGATATTGAAAGAAAATTATGCATAGTTTCGAAGATTACTCTTTAGAATTATTGTAGAAACATTTTCGTATTGAGGAGTTAAGGATGAGAGATAAGTATGACAACTCTTTCGAAGGCACTTCTAAGGCCAATGCCATAGAGAAGATCGAATCTTCTAATATATATAACAAGAGAAAACCTTCAAGGAACTTTAACCAGTTTAAGAAGTCCAAAAGAAGTTGTTTTGTATGTGAGAAACCTGAACATTATGCAAACGAATGTCGACACAAAAAACAAAACAACTCCAGAGGAAATGTGAACTCCATTAAAGAAGATAATATTGTGGCTACCATAAGCGAGATTAATACAATCAAAGGAAAAGTTCCTAGATGATTGTATGATACATGTGCAACTGTACATATATCATATGACAAATCATTGTTCAAAATATATTATGAAGTAGATAGAGATCAAGAAATTCGAATGGATAATGAAAGTCTGGTGGTTGGGAAAGGAAATATAGAGATCATCTTTACTTCTAGCAAGATCGTTTCCTTGACAAATGTGTTGCATGTTCCCGATATGACTAAGAACTTGGTTAGCGAAAATCTCTTATGAAAATCGAGCATAATATGTGTTTATGAGTCCAGTAAACTTGTACCATCTCTAAATAGGAAATTTATTGGAAAAGACTATTCTTGTGAATAAATTATCAAACTTTGTACCATTGACAAGATGATTAATAATAAAATTGATTTTGCATATATTGTTGATTCATTTACTTTATGACATGCTAAATTAGGTCACATAAGTAAGAGTACCATGAAAATAATGTTAAAATGTAATTTATAGGGTGATTGGTGGGGATTAAAATTAGATTATTTAGTAGATTATTATAGAAATTTTCGAAATGTATGGTTAAAAACTTGTGGGACCTATGAAAGACATGGTCAATATTGATTGTTTGACTTCGACCTAGATTAAAATAAGATTTTAATCCAAATCAAACTGCCTCTTAATATCATGTAATGAAAATAATGAATTCAAATATAAAACCTATGTAGAATCTATAGGAGCCTTATCAAAGTGTAAATAGGGTTTTTAGTATTTTAGAATTAATTCATACGGACATATATGAATTAAATGGCATGTTAACTAAATAAGGAAATAGGTATTTCATTACCTTTATAGATAATTACTCTAGATATACGTATGTTTACTTGATAAAACATAAATATGAAGCCTTTGATATGTTTAAAACATGTAAGAATGAAGTGGAAAATTACTTAAGTAAGAGAATAAAAACTTTAAGAAGTGATGGAGGAGGTGAATATTTTTCTAGTGATTTTAACTTGTTTTGCGAACAAAAAGCATAATTCATCAATATTCTGCACCTAAGACGTAATCACCACTGAAGAAGATTCGCAAGATTCACAGAAATTAGAAATTTAGATTCCATTTCCTTGTGATATCTTTTCCTTTTATCGAGCTATTATATATCTTGATTTCAAGGAGTACTGAAATTTTTTTTGATCAAGGTATGCTCCACACCTGGTAGACACGAAGACTTGAAGGTTTGAGCAAGGGTTAAACCCAGACCTAAGCATGATTCTTACGTCACATCGTTTCACATCATACCGTGAGGTGTTGGAACGAGCTCACGCTATTTGGTATCAGAAGGCAAATGCAGAGCAACACCGTCAATTGTACAACCAGCAGGATAAAGGACAGGTTGGAAAGAGAAAATGGAATGGTCTAGATCAAGGAAAAGGCAAATGGCAAAATAAGAAAGCTAATACTAGACCTAGTGATAGTAAGGGCATAGTAGTTGCAGTAGTGTCATGTCCTAAGTGTGGTAAGCCTCATCGTGGTGAATGCTTGTATGGGAAGAATGCCTGTTTTTGGTGTGGTAAGCCAGGACATATTACTTATGATTGTCCCATATTTGCTTAGAAGAAGGATGACAACAAATATCAGAACAAGAAGAGAAAAGCACGAGTTTTTACAATGATGCAGAAGGATGCAGAGGAGGACTCAAATGTGATAGCAGGTATATTACTGATATCTGATTTACCTGCTTATGTACTTTTTGATTCAGAAACTACTCACTCTTTTGTATCAACATCTTTCGTTGCTAAATCTAGTATCAATTGTGATAAGTCAGAGAGTACACTAGAAGTTAGCATTCCCTCATGCAGAACATTGAATATAGATAAGTTCGCTAGGTCGGTGAATCTTAAAATTGAGGGAAAAACATTTGAAGCTGACTTGTACGTGATAGAGATGAAAGATTTGATGTGATTTTGGATATGGATTGGTTAAGATATAATTATGCAACTGTTCGTTGTAGAGAAACGGAAGTGACTTTACAATAATCAGGAGAAGAACAATTTTCTTTTCCTAGAATAAAGATCAAGCCCTATCTCTGACTAGTACCGGCTTTACAAGCTGAGAAAATATTGACAAAAGAAACATCTCAAGGGTTTCTAGTTAACATCTTAGGAAGAAAACAGGTAACGATAAAGATTGAGGATGTACTAGTGGTACAATAATTTAGAGATGTGTTTCCAGAAGATCTATCTGGTATTCCTCCAAATAGACAAGTGA